ATGATGAACAGAATCGTGTAGACTCTTAATTACACTAATGGATATCCAGATAATATAAAAATAAAAATTATAATTTTATGAAAAACATTTAAAAGGTTATCTTATATCATAATTTGGGATTTTGTATTGCCTAAATAATTGGTGTATTATTATTTAATTGATTATTTTGTCTCATGTCATAGGATGTATCAGATGGTAGTATAGACAAATCATGGGATCATCCATGGACCACAGAAGAGATGAGGAAAAACAGGCGGGAATGGAGTCTGGCAGGTGACGTTGGGCTCCTCAAGCATCTTCAACAATTTTCAGAAGTATGTTCTATTTAACCTCATTGATTTTGATAGTATATTACATCTTGATTTTGTATGAAATTCTAGAATCTGGTATCTAAAGCTAACAAAACTCAAGCAGCTCTGGATACATTGACAACACAGTTGAAAGAAACGGGGATATTAGTGGACAATGTTACTAATATATCCCTAGCTTTGGCTAACACTCAGTTTATTGAAAGCCGTGTACAGGAAGATGATATAGAGATTGAGGAAAATCCTGAAAAGAAGCAGAAAGTAAGTGTATATTTTCAAAAGTTGCAATGTATTTATATTTTTATGTAAAGGATTTACAATATTTTTTCTAAAAATTAATATTTATATTTTGTGCAATGTATTGTATTTTTTTAAATCTTTTTGGAAAATGTGTGCTTAATATTTGAGTGAAATAAATTTTTATATTATATGTAGAATGTAAAGACTCAGGATTCAGCTCCAGAAGATGTTCTGGCTAGCATAACCGAGAGCGTCAAGCAAGGTTTAAGTATAATGGATGAAAAATACAAAGTAATGGATGTGGCTTGCAGTGATAGTGAAGAAGAAGACGAGGGTGGTGCAGTAGTATTTAGGTTGGTGCCTTTATTGTTGTCAATGCATACAGAATTCAATTTGTACTAAAATATTGTCGATTTACAGTGTCATTGTAGGACCTAATGATCCATATCAAGATCGGCCCTTGCCATATGTTATCGGTTCTGAAAAATGGGTAGCATCAAGTAAAGTAGGCTTAGAGAGCAGCAGCAGCGAATCCGAACAAGCCGATGAGGAGCGAGAGGAATCGGAGAGTGAGAAGGAAGATGTAAATACACGGAAGGTGTTCAATAGCCGACATAATCCGGAGATAAACATAGCGAGATTATCATCGTCCTCTAGCGATTCAGACAATTATAACGATCATAGTAATAATGTATCTTACATGAATAATAAGGCGAATATTGTATCTCAGAATAATATAAATTCTGCCTCTGAATCTACTACACCTAATAATGTATCAAAGGTGAATAATCTTATAATTTGTTCTGTAAAATTTGTAATAATTTTTTTTATATTTAAGAAATGAAACAATTATTCTTATTCTTTTTGCAGACATCCAGTGAAACGGCGCCCAATTTTGCAGAAGAATTGGCCAAGCGATTAGGCACTGTTCGTCAAGCACAGAAACCTGTTGCTGTGGATGAAACCAGTGAATCATCGATTAATCGATTTAAAGGTACGCAATTAACATTGCGTTGTAAAAATATATTGTATATATATATATATATATATATATATATATATATATAT